ATTTGCTTATGATTTCCGGAGGCAAAAGCAAGAAATGACCCAGGTCAAGTTAGTCTTGCAAAATAAGCTAAATCAAGCTTTGCTTGCATGACTAAACTAGTTTTCTTCTGCTCAGGGAATTTTCAAGGCTGGTCTCCATTTGTTTTAGATTTTAAAAATATCATATATATATATGATATATATATATCTCATATATATAACATATATTACGTTAAAGATATACAGCTGCAAATAATTGAAAACAAAAGGAAGCAAAGTATGTTTTTTCCCCCATGAGATGTCCTACAACCATGAAATGACTAAGCCTTGCACGTTCTGCAGCAGTACTGACGGCCCTATCTATCTGGCTTAACCAAATTATTGTGACATGTACTTGTGTTCAGGTTGCAAATGAAAAAGCTCCACCAGGCTCAGCAGTGGCAGACTGAGTGTACTTACAGCTCCGTGCTTATAAGTATAAATTGTGACATTTTACTGCTTTTAAATGATGCAGGATGAAATGATTGAAGACGTTATTACGTGGAACAAAATCCAGTCGCGAGTGCGATATTCTTAACTACTTGGTACTTTGAGCTTTTATGGGGGATTGTTAAGTACTTTTACTGAAGAACTGTGGGGAAGCGGTGTTTGTTGCATTAAGACTGTCTCTAGAGAAACAGCGGAGCCTTGACCATATCACAGACATGTTCAGGGAACCCGGCAAGTGGGAGAGAGTAAGTGGTGTGTCCAGCTCTCAGCTGGAATTTAGTGACTTAATTAGCGTTCACTGAAACCCTGGTAAAGTGGTTCTCCATTTTGGCTGAATATTAGAATCATCTGGGGAGCTTTTTAAGCTACCACGCTGGGGATAGGGAGCTCCAGAGATTTTGGTTTAACTTTTCCGGTGAGGCCAGATATTGCTGGTTTTTAAAACTGCCAGTTGATTCTAATGGATAGCCACAGCTGAGAACAAATGGTTTGGTGCTAGAGAAGCAAATACATCAATTAGCCTTTTTTGGTCCTCCTCCTTTTTAACAATGCTCTTTCACGTGGGGATTGCTGTAAGAGTAAGTGTTTGAGCAGGAGAGAAGGATAACAGGTAGAAGAATACCAGGGAGGCTCGGTCATTCCTCAAAATCTTCACCTACTCATTCGGAGTCTGAAAACTCTCCTTGTAGGTGAGTCGCTCATTACAAATTCTAATTACAAATCATGTGTGGAATGTGACTCTATATGCCTTCTAACCTGGAATAGTAAAAAGGTCTTAATTTATTCATTGATTCATTTATTTCATGGGCTTTTACAAAAATACATGGGGCAGAAAAACATGGTCTGTGCTCTCCAGAAGCAACACCCACATAACTGTGGGACCTGGCACAGGAGTGATACAGAATACGCATATGTGGGCAGTTGGCTTTTCTTCTTTCCTCTCCTTCCTTGGAGCGGGTACTTTCTCTGCTTCAGGGAAATGTAACTCAGGGCTGAGGGGATGGTGTCTTCTTTGCATAATAAAGTGCAAGAGATCAGCTGATTGCTTGGATACTTTACCTGTTGGTGAGACCAGGACAAGAACTGCTTCTCTATCTTTTGATTCTACTCTAAGCTGCCCCTCCTCACCCTCAGTCCGTCATGTTCCTCCCATCCAGTGGTGAAAATCGAGATTGCAGAGAATGACAGTGAACCCTTCCTGAGGCTGCATCTAAGGGTAGTCAGGGTGAGGGCCATGAAGAGGTTTAAAGGACTGAGGGACTGTGGAGGTATCAGAGAAGGCTGTTTGGAGTAGGGGTGGCTACTGGAATGCAGGCTGAACCCCACCACCCCCAAAGCGGCCTCTCCCATAAACCTATCACTTATTGAACAAAATAGATTTTCTCACCTGAATCTCAGGTAAAGGACTGATTGATTGTTCTCTGGGATTGTGTGTATTTGCTTGCTTGTTTGTTTTATTTATGGACTGTATTACCTCTCTCCCACCATAATAATGGTTAGTGCTAGGGTTACAAAGGCCATAGAATTTCAGAGAAAGGTCAGGTTCCTATCAATAACCAGAGATATCTTCAGGAAGCTGAAATGTTGAGAGTCACTAGAATTTCATAGACTGTAGACTTTTTAATTGGAAGAATCTTTGGAGAGACTTCACTCCACTCCCTAAATTTTTAATGAGATTATTGTGCCTTGAATAATAGTGACAGAATGGTGTCGGGGATGGTGTGGGGCAGAGGGACCCTTATAAGTAAGGCCATAGAGGAGGGAAGATCTAAGAGCCACAGGAGGGTGGAGAGAAGATCAATTGCCTGGATATTCAGATTTGTTTTAACCTTGAGCAAAGGTGAATTATTTTAACAGAAGAAACTGAAAAATTAATATGAACAAGATATAAAACATTTAAATATGGCTCATGTTAGAAAAAAATACATGAGCTCAGGGAAGTTCTTTGAGGGCTAAAGACAGAAGAGAAGCACTACAATTTACTTGGAAATGAAGCTTTTCCAATATAAACTTAGAAAACAAAAGGATAATGCTTCTTTCTTTTTCCTTTTCCCCTCTTCCCAATCTCTCTCTCTCTCTCTCCCCCTCCTCTTCATTCCTTTCTCCTGTATTATCACTGAGCGGGAATCCAAGCGAAGTGACACAGAGCTTTCCTCAATTGCTGTGTCTCTAGTGATCGGGAGGATGCTATCCAGGGAGTTTATGAATTTACTTGCTGTGTGTGGGGGTAGCTGCACCAGGCAGAGACTGGGAGGGTAGGACATAGGGCATTCGCCTCTATTTTGCAGTCTCCCCAACCCTCACAAACAGACATCTGGATTAAGCGCTGCCTCTGTTAGAGAGAAACAAAAATCCATTAATAAAAAGGGACAATTCAAATTTTGAATTTCATAAGGAAATGATTAAAAGGGTGAATATCATCAATAGAATACATCTCATTGTTCATGAAAAATCTACAGAAATAGACTGTCATAGTAAAAGCACTGTAATTTTATTTTGGAACTTCTGCCTCCTGTTTTCGTATAATTTCGAAGCAAATATCTAAAATTAAAAATTGATCAGCTTTGTCCCACTAATCCTACCATTAAATCTTCTCAATGTTATTACTTTTATTATTGTCAGCATAATAATTGAGGAATGAATCAAAAAGAACCCAAACTCTAGAGTTTGCTCTCAAAGCATTTTCAAGCTCTAGAATGGGTGTTGGAAAATTTAATCCCTAGGAACAACCATGATACTGATAGTTTGGTTAGTTAGTTTTGATGATTCAAAGTACCTAGAAATAACATTCTGTTTCATGGTGAAAAATAGAAGTCCTTTCTTCTAATCAGAAGTATAAGGACTCTTGATGAGATTGGTGAAGCTTTGAATACTGGAAGAAAAGTCAAAGTATATGAAAGAATTCAACTTTTCAAAAAGGTTCTATCTTTTCTTATGGGCAGCCAATCAACTCTCAAATAACTCCCAAAGTGAGGAATAAGTTTCCTTTGGATGGGTTAGATATTTAAAGACAAAGATTTTGTGTATTTAATGGAATTACCGCTTTGAATCAACCCATAAGCAAGACATGTTGACTTTCTAGTTCCAAAATATGTGTCATATCAGACCGTGTATCTTTCTCTGTCTCCAATGTTGCCACCTTAGTTCAGCTTTCATCACCTGTATCAGGTCTTCCTGCTCAGACTCATGCCCATGTCCCACTAGCTCTCACGTAATATCCAGTGTTAGCATTTTATAGTGTAAACAACATCACCTCCCTCTCACATTGCCGCACTGCTTAAAGTCCTACATTGGAGAGGTTTGGATTTTACTCTAATGCAGCCCCCCAAGTACTCCACCCTCCCCAAACCTTCCACTTTCTCTCCAGTACTCTGCTATTTGTTTCATAAGACCTTACCAGAATTTGTAACTATTTTGTTTGCTTATTTTATTCTTGTATCCCATTGCCTACAGGATTGTATGATTTACAAATCCAGGGATTTTTTTCTATTTCTGTCTTGTTCATCTTTGTTTCCTAGTGGCAAGCTCAACATATAGTATATGGTAGACTTTTTCCCCAGAGGTTTTTTAATAAAAAACATTCAAATATCCATTAGAGAATTTTGCAATGAATACCTGAATACCTACCACCTTGTTTCTACTGTACTTTTTCATCACATATCTTTTCATCTCTCAATTTCTCTACCAATACATGGTGGGCTCTTAATATATTTGTTGAAAGAATGAATAAATGAATTAGTGTTACTCCTTTGGTCGATAGCCTGAAGCTGTCCATTCTGGTTTGCCCGTACAAATACTGAGAGCTTCCTTGTTTCTGTGTGGTCACAGTGTATGGGGGACTGTTTTATTCCTTAGAATATGTATCTTGCTGAGCTCTGTACCAGGTACTGTGCTAGATACTGGGGGTTCAGAAATAAGGACAAATTTCCTGATTCCAGGGGCACATAATCTACTAGAGAGAGGAACTAAATATGTTAGCGATGGAAGAAGAAAGAAGTAGAACATGTGGATTAGTAACTTTTTTTTGCACACGTGACTTATTAATAAAGACTGACCAGTGTTATCTTGATGTTAAAACTGACTTATTTCTTGGCATTTTGTGGTTTTTGTTGCACAAGTAGATAAAATCAATTGTTGACTTGGCTAATACCAGTGAAGGGACATTTTATGAGTCCTACTTCAGTGAGTGACAAATGCAAGCATATTTAAACCATGAAACTTTTGGCTTTCCTTTCCTTTTCTTTTTTTTTTTTAAAGTTCTGTATACATCATTGAAACATACAAGTAATAGAAGCAAAGGACAAGCATAAAAGGTGTTCCTAATATAGACTAACTATGGTCAAGGTAAAGAACATCTCTGTCTGGTCTAGAAAACTGACAGAGCAGGCAGGGCAGGTCGAACTTTTTTCCCTTCTGCACACAGATCATATTTTTCCAAATTGTGTTTGACTATATTTTTTGTACCCTGTTATTTATTATTTTGATTGTTCAGAGGAAATACTTACCTTCAAAGTGACATCCTGGGGCAGTGGTTTACAATATCCTTTATTAAGCTTTGCTGTGTCTATTCACATTGTTTTAATTCTTATTTTTAGAGAGGGGATTTTAAGAAGGTCAGTGCAGTATATTTGTGATTAAATTCCAGGAGTACTTAGCAGGGGTCCACGTAATAAGGGTATTGAATCATTGTGAACTGAGAACACATCAAAGTTTATGCTTTAACTGAGAATCCTCTGTTAAATATTTAAAAGTGAAAGCAATCCTTCAAAACAGGCATATGTGCCTGGACAGCACAGAAATGGTGAACACAGTACTAGGGTAAGCAGAAAAGGCAAAAACTGGGAACTGGGTTTATTGTTTTTCTGACTTCAGCTCTCTCCTCATACCTCTTACTGCTTTTATTTGCTGGTGTACTGCTTTCCAACATTTTAGTGACTCCCAGCCCTTCAACTTTCATTCGCTCACGTTGTCCTCCCATGGGTTCCCATGTGGCAAATATTTCAGGGCCCAGTGTAGTTCTGACTTGGATACGCTCCCTTGCTTTGCCACTAGTAGCTGAAGGTCCTTGAACGAGGAATGTATCTTTTCCAAATTCCAGGTTCCTTCCCCGTAACTGGTAGACCTTAATACCTACTTCAAAATGTAAAACATGTCCACCATGGAGTAGACCCTTGATAAATGTTAGTTTTACCCTATCATTTTAAGATCCATTGCCACCTGCATTAGTGAGAAATGATAATTTTGGGAAGAAATATGGATTTAGGCACCTATATAGTACACTATGAGGGAAAAGCAAATCCGGAGGTAGATATTTTATTTATAAAATTAGACTTAAATTTTTTTTGCAAAAACCAACAAATACATGTTCAGATCTGGTTTATCTTCAAAACACGTGTTTGTTTTTGTGTTTTTAACAAACATGCAAGTTAATTTGGCATGCCAAACATCTTTCTCTCTAGCTGTCTTTGGAAAATTTTTTTTTTTTTCATACCATGAGGGTGCAAATATTGTCTAAAAACTATTTACATTTTTACCCTCCAGAATTACTAACATTAATATTTATTGAGAAGAAAGAAAAACTGCAAGGTTCAATCTTTGGCATTCACATTTGATTCAGCAGTATAATTAAAAACATAATTGTTTTTAAGATAAACACTTTGAAGGAAATTTAATAAATCTTGTTTTTTTCTCTGCAGAGGAGCCACTGTATCAAAACATTTAACTGGATCTGTTGAGTTCCTGCTGGTAGAATATTACTTCCAGCCTATTTATTAGCTTTTCTTCCTGTGGCCCAATGCATGCTTCCCTACCCCCACTCACTCCACTGAGTGAAAACACAGAGAGAAAGCAGTTTCTTTTCTTTCTCCTCCCTGCCAGCATCATGCAAGGCCAGGCAACATCACAAGTCACAATACCTGAATTTATATTTTGTTTCTTATACTTAAAATTATTTTGTATTATAATACTTACTGGGTTATTTAAAATCAACATTGTTGATTTTAAACTATTATAAAGCCAGACTTTTAGAGACATTTGAAACAAGTCATGAACCATGTCTGAAAGGAGATAATTGCCTCCAACTTATTCTTTTGCACTTGAAGTAAAAGAATTTTAGGTATCAGCAGTTTACTAGAAAATGACTTTAGGGGGCCTATATAATGTATTCATATCTTTTTCTATATTGTAAACAAGGATATAATACTTTCGATAGTAGCCATGAACAAATTTTTAAAAATATATCCTTTAGTATAGAATAGGTATCAAGTGAACATTTTAAACATGATTCTGGTAGATCTCTTATGAGCCTACTTCCCAGAAAGTTTTTATGTGACATTTCATGATTTAAAAAAACCCAAAAAACCTAAAGTATAGATTTAAGCTGAGAAATATGCTGTATGTGAGGTAAGGTCATTGAAGTACCTATAGTCTGATGCAGAATGTAATATGTACAAAAGAACCTAGAGAAACATCTATTTCAAATTTCAGGCAAGATATAAGAGTGCATAGAGAATAGAGAGCTTTTTAGGTCACATAGTGAAAGAAGACACAGTATTTAGCTAAAACAATGTTGTAAGCAACATATACATGTGCGGTGCCAATTCACAGAATGCACACGAGATCAATTAGAAATTGTACTGTGATAGCCACATATTTTGGAGAAAAATTCCCAAGCCAGGCGGATGTGGATTGGGATAAAAACATAGGCAGTATACACCACCATAGCAACAATGGTTAATAAGATGGTATTGAACATGGATTGCTCCCAGGGCTCTAAGACAGCACAGCAGCTAATGATTTGGTATTGATAGTAGAGCCAGGAGAAATAGTCTTTCACACGCCTGAAATCCATGGTTGGCTCCTTCAAGCTGCAGAAAGTCTGTCCTGTTAAAAAAAAGACAGCAGATTAGAAGAAAAATAAGACAAGGAACCAAACCCAGAATCTCCTTAGATTTTCATGATCTCAACATGTTAAAACCTTTCAAAGAATGTTAATGATTACTGAATGGCTTGATACTAATATTATTTGGAAATAATATGCAATATTTTAATCATACAAATTAATAATATTCCCACTACTAATAATTACTACTATAATTAACAGCAACAATATTATTAATAGTAATTTTCATCTAAAAATGATAATTCCTAGTAATAACTCTAGTGATATTAGTATCTACAAATTAAGGCTAACCACATTTTCTTTATTCATGTATAGAGATAAACTATTTCCTACAACATATATTCTGGAAGAATATTTAAAGAACTGCATACAGAAAAGACTTAATATAGCAAGCCTGCGGCTGCTATCTTTAGAAGGTCCCACTGGCAAATTTGGCCCTTGGCTGGCATCTGGGATCTTGGGTTTTAGAATGATCTGTCCATTCTCTAATGGATAGGATGATTCACTATGCCTAGACTGTGCAAGCTCTGTAATTAATAGTGAACATCTGCTTTATTCTGGGAGTCTGAAATTTTGGTAATTACCAGGCAAAGAGTGTCCACATAACCCATCCCAATAAAAACCTTGTTGCTGAGTCTCTAATGGGCTCTTCTGAGCGGGAATATTGCACGTGTATCACTGCACTTTTTGCTAGTAGAGACGGGAGTGTACTTGGTGTGTCTGCTCATGGTGCAGGTTTCCTTCGAAAATCCACCATATACATATATATCAGATTCCACCTGTGTCTTTCTTCCTTGCTGATCCTGTAATAAACTATAGCTGTGAGTACAACTATATGCTGAGTCCTGCAAGTCTTTCTTGTGAGTCACTGAAAGACTCAGTGGGGCCCTCTGAAACAACAAATGGGAATCCCCAAGTGCACCTTTGGGTGGTCTTTTTTTTTTTTTTTTTTTGATATGGAACTCATGAAAACCATATAAGTATGTTTTGTTGGCCCTCAGATAGGACAGTTATAATCACATGAAAATCTTCCTAGAATGAAGAACATCTATCATTTAAGATGATTCTTGAGAAGATTTTGTGGACTTTCATAGACACGATAGGTGTCTGTGGGGATACAAGCTGACTTTTATGCCTGTTTTGCTTACTCCTAAGAATATAATGGTGCCACATTATCTAGGTCCAGTTTAATAATTTTCACTATTCAAATCAGAGTTAAAAAATTTTGAAGATTTTTTCTATCTTCTGATCTGAAATTTTCTCTCTTTGATTCTCTTTTGAGTAAAGCAAGATGTTTTTGCTCCATAAGGCTGTGGTGGAATCCTCAGGCTTTGAGGAGACTCTCATGATCCTAATGCCTGGCACAAAGATAGTAATCAGTAAATACTTGCTGAATGAATGAGCAAAGGGATGAATGTTACATAACCAACTTAAAAAAATAATCATAGATCACTCTTACTCCCAGCCTAAGTGGGATATGGTTTACTATTGTTGACTTTCAATAGCTTGGCTTTGACTAGTAACACTGTCTGAGATGGGTAATTCCCACAAAAACTTAAAATGGAAAGTCTTTGTGTTATCAGCTCACAATTATCTGTAATAATGGCCAGGATAATTCAAATAAGCAGATAATACAACTGAAGTTGTTTCACTTTCCTGCAAAAAGAAAAGTCAGCCTCCTCTCTTTCCTAGAAGCTGGAGTAGGAACGAAGTAATTGGACTGAAATGCCTTGTCCTGGTAGGTGGACCTTGGTGAGAAGTTGCCTCTAACAATTCTTTTTTTCATTCCAAGCTCTGGTTGCAGAGAAAGAGCTATGACCAGTAGTGTTAGGTCTTGAAGGTAATGAGTGACAGCAGGAGTGATCATTTCAGTGAGTGAAAATGTGTAAGCATAGAGATTTTCCACAGAAAATTAGAACTGATCACAATTTGAGCTTTTAGGCTGTCCCACTAGATAACTGTATATTTCAAACTAAACTTAATTTTTAAAAATCTCATTCATAGCTACCCACCCTTGCTTCCTCTGCATTATCTAGACAGAGTTTGGGGCGATGCCAGATAACTGATTAGGTTGTGAGAGAACATTCATCAGTTGTTAAGTTCCAGGCTGTGCTAGGTGAAGGTAGGAGAATGATGGCTCAGACAGGTAGAGACTCGCTGCTTAGAAAGCTTGTCCCACTTGGGGAGACAGGTAGCAATTAAATAATATAGACAAATATTTAATTATTAGCCACGTTATACCCTAAAGGAAAAGAGCAGTGTATAAGGGGCTGTGGGAAACCTGGTCCAGTCTGAGCACGTCTCTGAGGAAGAGGTATTTGAGATAAGATCCAAGGGATAATTGCGAGTCAAACAGATAAATGGATAGTCAGGTAGGGAGAATGGCCAAGACAGAGGGATCAACTCGTATTTGTGCAAAGGTTAGAGGTGGGAAGGGGCTTGATAGGTGGTGGATCGGGGCAGAGAATAGAGCACAGAGATCTGGCGAGGGAGGCTGGGGGTATGAGAAGACTGAAGAGGAGGAAATGATCAGAGTGAGGCCAAGCACTGTGGGGCCTAGTTGGATAGGCTAAGTATTTTGGTCTTTATCCTGTGAGTGTGGGGGCTCCAGAGGTTTTTAACAGGAGAATATTGTGGTGGGTGTGAGAAGGTGGGTGTGAGGCTTTAAGCTCCTATGGACATGTTGCCTTCCTTACACTCTAAAACCAAATTGAAATGACTTTGAATACCAATCGTTTCAGAAAATCTATGCCTTTGTTTACCTATGGGTATTACTTGCTCAGAATCAACCATGTACTGACAATCTATTTAAAATATTAATACTCTTAACTTTTATAAATGAGTTAAATAATTCATTGAGAAATATTATTAAATTTTTCTATACATTTTAGCTTTTAAAAATGAACCAGTCAATTGCCTGGCAATTGATTTCTACTCTAAAATTAAATTCTTGCTTGAACAGCCCCAGTGGACACCTTGATTGCAGCTTTGTGAGAGACCCTGAGGCATTCAGCTAAGTTGTGCCCAGGTTCCTGAGCCATAGAAACTGTGAGATAGTCAATGTTTATTGTTTTTAGCTGTAAAAATCAATCCATTTTTCATCTATCATCTATCATCTATGAATCATCTATCAATCATTTATCATCTATCAAGAAAATGACAGATATAAACCATACCAACATGCATTACACCAAAGGTGGATACCTTGGTGACATACTGCTAAAAATATAAAGAATTAAGATTAAAAATTTTTTTTCTTGCCAGTATCCACAGTCCCCGGTATCATTTCCCAGCCTTCTCAGTAGCCAGCTCTGACACGTAAAAAGTGCTTTTCATTGTCACATCTCACTTTAGTCTCATGAAGTCTAAGAGTCAGCCAATAAGAAGCACTGATTTTTTTCCTCTTTGATTTTTTTTCCTTATTGATGAAAAGTAATTTTAAAGATTGTTTATTGTTTCTTATTAGGAAAGGGTGAGAAGAGAGAGAGAGTTGGTTTTTATTGTAAACCATCTGCTACAATGTATTGTTAAAATATGCACTACATTTAGGCTCTAGATCTGCCTAAGTAATATATTTCTACGGCCTTTTGAGTCTATATTTTAATCTCCTTTGAGACTACATGAAAGATTTAAAAAAATCTTTAGACAATTTAAAATGAGTAACATGGATAGGAGATTTATTAATTCATTAAACAAATACATTTTGAGTACTAATTATATGGTTTCTTCTGAGTAGTTAAGGTTTCAGAAAGAATCTATCCCATTGCATAAGAGACGCTTTTATAGGCAGCAGCAAACTAGACCGTGAAAATGCAGGGGAGGAAAAATAAATTTCTTTCTACCCTTCTAAGTTCTTCTGGCTGGTCTAATAATCAAATTGACATGAGACAGATTAAAAGGAGAAAGTAACCCAATTTGTTATTTATGTACATATGAGGATTGCATAAGGCTATTGAACCTCAGGACAAATAAGGTAGTTGAGGCTTATATGCCATTCTATACTAAAGAGAGAGAGGCAGGGGTCTAGGGCTTCAAAGAGAGAGTAGACAACTCACAGTCTTGCTCAGGAAGTTCTTTGTTGGTGTTCTCTGTCCTCGGAAACTGAAATGGTAGAATGTTAGGCAACTGGAATGAGAGAAGAGTAGCAGTTGTTTTGGTAGGTGAGAATTTACCTGGGGGGTATTGCTGAAGAATTGATCCTACAGTTCTCCACCACCTAAAAAAAAAAGTACTCCAAACTATTGGATTTTCTCAGTAAGGGATTTCCCTTTCTAGACACTAGCTTTTAAAAGTAAATCTTCCCTCCTGGGGGGAAAAAAGCTTTACACATTTTGGGTTAAATTTACTTCCAAAATGTCAGAATCTGGGGCTGAAGAGAAAGGTCAGAAGGACCTGCAATTAATTTTGGGTTAACTCCTTCCCAACTTATTTGAAATTCTACATCAATCGCTCAGCGCTTTTTTTTTTTTTTTTGTGCTTCATATTTGAAACCTGAAAATCTGAGAAGTGAAAAAAGTGTCCTGCTGCAGAAAGAGATGCTGTGTCTAAAAAGAGACCGTGTCTGTACTCAGCAGTGCTCCTTGGAAAGAACTCAACATGACTTACTCACGTTCAAACCTTCCTTTAATTAAGCAATTTATTTTTAAAAGGAGCAGAGTGATTTCCTCCTAAAGAGTGCAGCATGGAAAGGGAGATAAGAAAAAGTAAATTTACAGTAGAGAAGACTAGTAAGCACTGCCTTGACAGCTGATCAAGGCCCACATCAACTGTTAAATCCTTTTGGTAGTGTGTATCCATGAGCTCCTCACATGAAAATGGCACTTTACCTTTGTGGTCTTCCTCCTAACCCATGACCTTAGTCTAATAATCATGAGAAAAAAATAAAATATCAGGCAAATTCCAATAGAGGAGCATCTTAGAAAATACCTGCCCAGTGCTCCTTAAAACTCTCAAGGTCATCAGAAACTAGCAAAGTGTGAAAAACTGTCACAGCCCAAAGGAGCTTGAGGAAACATGATGATTAAGTGTAATATATTATCCTGGGTGGAATCCTGGAGCAGAAAAAGGATATTAGGTAAAAACTAAGGAAATTTGTGTAAAGTATGGGCTTTAGTTATTGATAATGTATCAAGATTGGCTCATTAATTATAACATGTGTCATATGTTAGTTTAAGATGTTAATAGGGGAGACTGAATGCAGGGTATATGAGAACTTTCTATACTATCTCATTTTTTCTGTAAGTCTGAAACTGTTCTAAATAATAAAGTCTATTAAAAAATTTTGAAGGCAAAGAAAAGAGAAAGTCTTGCAAGGTCCAGAGTTATCCCTATTCCAAACTCCAATGAACTTTGCTATGTTGTTCTGACCTTCTGAAAACTCTTCCTAAAAACTCTGAACATAGTTAAATAATACCTTCCATAAAGGACTGGATTTCAAACATTTTTAAACATGACAGAGAAGAAAACTACATTTTACATTATGATCCAGTGTACATACACACAAATAGCCATATAACTAAAATAAACATCTCTTAAAATAATATTTTGAGGTACATGCTGGCATTTTTTTTCATTCTGTTCTATTTTATTTGATTCTACTATATTCTATATTATTCTCTTTGTTCATTAAAAAATACCCCAATTGTGAGCTACCACATTGATTTCTTAATCCTTCTATTTTAAAGCTTAACTCAAATGCGACTCTTAAAATGTCTCTGCACTGTCCAATATGGGACCACTAGTCACGTGTGGCAATTTAAATTTTTAGTGTTCAATAGCCACATGTAGCTTATGGCTACCATACTGAACAGCATAGAGATAGAATATTTTCATCAATGCAGAAAATTTTGTCAGTGTTGTGGACTCTCTCCATCCCTTCCTTGGGCTAATGAAATAGCCTACCAACTTGTCTCCTTACCATCTTCCATGCTGCTGCTGGAATTAAGTTTCTAAAATTACACATTCACTTCTCTGCTTGAAATCCTTTAATGGCTCTCCATTTCAAACACGGGAGGCCTTAAGGACCTTCACGGTTTGATTTGTTCACCTCTCCAGCATCATCTCTGAACTCTCCTGCTAAATACCATGTTTTGAGGTTTCATGTTTTAGTTCATTCTCTTTTCATTTCTAGAAATGTTTCTGTGCCCCTTTCTCATCTAGATAAAATCCTATTTACTCTCAAGACATAGCTCCTAATGTTTTCCTTTCTAGAAAGGAGATCTCTCAAGAGACTGCCCTTCCCAAGGAAAACATATTGCTTTTTTTATGTGTTACCACTGTAGCAACGTTTTAGAACTTATACTGTATTATAATTAGCCACATACAATCTGTTTCTCCACTAGAGTATGAAGTCTGTGAATACCAGGAATATGCCGCAGTCATCTCTTTATCCCCAGTGCCTGGGATGTAGGATACTTATATGATGGCTAGTGAGCTGGTAGGTTGGCTGGCTGGCTGGCTGGCTGGCTGGCTGACTGATTGACTGACTGACTGAATTACAAAGTTATCAAAGGCAGGAACTGAACTTATACTTATTTAATATTTCTATAGCACAATGTTGAACACTTAAAAGGTTCTTATGAATTCTCTTTCTATGCTTTCAGACAATTAGTTTGAGACAGATTGTTTCTGAAAATCCAATACAATTGTCTTTTGTAGGATAGAAGGGAGCTGGTACTAACTATATTTTTAATAGAACAAATGCTTTTTTACTTTTTCACACTGTTAAAAATTCATGGACTTTCTGGGGAATAAAAAAACACTTGTGAGGTGGTTTTAAATTCCATTAAAATGGCTTTTACAAGTGCTTACTCTATGTGAGCAACAATTTAAGATTGGTAGGTAGAAAAGTGGTTCTAATGGGAAAAAATCCCAGTATGGAAACCTCTGGAGACCTGAATTTCTTCCCTTCCCTTCCCTTCCCTTCCCTTCCCTTCCCTTCATTTCATTCCTTACTTTTCTCTTATCTTTACTCTTTTCTCTTTATTTTCTTCATCCATCCATCCATTCATTCATTCATGCATGCATGCATTCATTTTACTGTGTGTCCTTGGGCAAGCTCCAAAACTTTTCTGTGTCACGGCTTCTCTCTGTAAAATGAAGGCAATCGATAATTGCCTCTAAGTCTGTCTCAGTGGCATGGCTAGGAGTATAGGGAAAGGTTTTGAGCTCTTTAGAAGTAACAGTAATAGTGGTGTTTATTGTTGTTCTTTGTGAATTGGTATAACTTTAAATTATTTGTAAGACTTTACTATATTATAAAGTCAAAAAGTCTTTGTGTAATATTCTATAATGGTTACCTCAGTAATGGAGTGCTTTGTGTATTTTATAGGAAAAAAACCACCTCAGCCTTTATTTATGTTTGCTAATTGAACTGCCTAGTACATTGAAAAACAAACAAACAAAAAACAATTCAGGTATATAGCCACTACCACAAACCACTACTTGAAAGACACTGCAATCTCTAGATGAATTTTAAATGTGTCTTGGGCAGGGCCACCATATGCCATTGTGTGGACTGTGCACTGCGTAAGCCGCTGCTTTAATGTGAATCAGTTCATATGATTAATAGCAAAACCTCACATCGTGTCTATGTAAGAATCAGGCACAGTATTAGTTTATTGGCTTCCCTGTTTCCAGATATCGTGCTCTAAATTTTCTGTGGGTGACTCTAATATTTTCTGTGCCCCATTGAAAATTCCACCCTTGCTTAACATTTTCCTGGAAATTTCCTTCCAATCTTAGAATACTCTCCTCCAACCATCCTTTGGCAAGTAAATCCTCATGCTGATACCAGGGTGAATATTAGAAGTCAGACCAGAAGCGATGGATTTGAAGTCCAAGTGTTTAGAGGGAGTTAAGAACAACAAACCGAAAAGTTTGAAATGAATCAAAGCCAAAGAAGAAAATCAAACAACCATAGAGAACTTTCTTTATCCGTTTATAAAATAGTTGGACAATTCTATAGACCCCCCAGAGAGATCAATCCATGTTACTCCTTTTAGGCAACTTATTTACTCTAAGTTTTATAATCTTGTACTTAGAAGTGAGTGAAATAATGCACTAAAAGGAAAAAGTCTCACCAATAATTTAAGTTATCGTTGGTACAGTGTTGGTTTGAGTTATACACGAGAGCTGAGTGTTTTTGTGGCTATCTGAACCAGTCTTACTGTTTCCAATTTTTACTAACACTAACAAAAGGAGAACAATAGAAAACATGTATTTCTAGTTCAACTATCAGCTGAGGTCATTGGGTGAAAAGGCATGCGCTGAGTAACTGCAATTTCAAAGCAGGCCTTATTGTTTGACATTTCTGAAAGACTCCAGGATTTATGAATGAAGGATTCTTGGCTGGGAAAGAACATTTGGAATTTGACTTTAACAGAAAATTTTATAATAATTTAAGAAATACTAAACTCAGATTAGATTAATCTCAGTGTTGTGTGGTTATCAAAAAGACGATCTATCTATCATCTATCTAGAGTAGCAAGTATGTTAATAGATGTTATAAATAGAAAGAGAAATTTGTAATGGGGGGTAAGATGTCTTGTTCCTGCTGTCTTTTCATTTACTCATATTGAAACAGGGCAAGTATCCCTGTTATTTCTGCCAATATTAGAGTGGAGAGTAGGGCTTCTGGGCCAAGTTTTTAACTATCATGTCATTTCTTAGGATAAGCTTCTTTATAACTATTTTATATGAGAGAGAGAGAAAAAAAAGAAACCCTATTATAAATAAATAAAGAAAAAAGAGCATAGCTTCTGGGTAGCATTTTCCTTCTGAAGATACTGTCCCCAAGGGATGCCAAATTGTTTTTAAAGGTAAAAAGTAAACAGAGCTGCAACACTAACAGTGGCCTTAAAGTCAATAAAATTCATTAAATGTACATACATTTTTCGCAATAGTCAAAAAAGTGAAAGCAATACAAACGTCCTTCAGCAGAGGGATGGATAAACAAAATGTAATATTATTCATCCTTAAAAAGTAAGGAAATTCTGAAATATACTACAACACAGATGAACCTTGAGGGCATTATGTTAAGTGAAACAAAAAAGATAAAAATGTTGTATGATTTCACTTCTATGAGATATCTAGAGTAGTCAAACTCATAGAAACCAAGTAGGATGGTGGTTTCTAGAGGCTTGAGGAAGGAGAAAATTAGAAGCTGTTGTTCAGTGCGTATGGAGTTTCAGTTTTGCAAGATGAAAACTTTCTGGACACTGGTCGCACAACAATGTGAATATGCTTAACACTACTGAACTGTAAATTTAAAACTGATGGAGGTAATACACTGTTATGTTATATATATTTTACTAGAATTGAAAAAATTTAAATGTCAGTGAATATCTCTAAAAATTATAAAGGACCGAAATTTAAAACCGTACGTTAAAATAATCTGAATAATATTTTTAAAACGTCATTGAGATTCTCAGTTTGTCATGGGCCATTACCATTCTAGCAAAATCATATAGATATACCATCCAAAGCTGAGTAAATGAATAACCCCAAAGATCTTTAATAATTGTGAGGTCCCAAATGGAGTTTCCTTCTTGGTTTTCAGGATATAAGGAAAATTGAGAATTGTCATACTATTTAAAAAAACTTCTAAGAGAAGAATCGACATGTTTAGGTTTATTCTTGGCATCAGTGAAATTCTAGTAGCTTAATCTCCTGCAGTACATGTGGGAAATATAAATTCTATGATATGAAATTCTTAAGATATGAAATAAGGAGTTCATAAGACCCCAATACCGAGAGCAGCTGAAATTGGTCAGCTGAAATTACTTGTCTACTGTCATTACAAACCCCTTTCCTGAAAACCTGTGTTCCATGCATATCATAACAGTTCTGCTTTTCTTTTTTCATCTCCAGCTCTTCTTGGCCAGCAAACCCACAATTTGGTAAAAGAACTACTTGCTTACTGTTCATTTCTAAGGATTCGGTCTTCTTAGGAGCTAGAAATCGGACCATGAAAAATCAAGCCTTTAACTCATACCTAACTATCATTATATTTGATATGTCTTCAGAAACAGAAGACTTTTTTCCCCAAGGAACAACTTGAAGACAAGGAAAGCGAGCTACTACAATACTGATTTGTCAAAAGCATATCTGCTGATTATTCGTTCCCAGAGTTCTGCCAAAAGAAATCTGGTTGTATAGGCAGTGACTCAGCCAAGACTCTTCCAATAGTATTTTCTAATACCAATGTCTGTTTTCTTTGTTTTGTTTCGTTTTTGTAACAATGCATAGATTTGCTCATAAAACTTTTTTTTGTTTTTTTATTTTTCTGTCCTTTGTCCTCCTCTTTCTTGTCTTCCTCTTTCTCATTCTTCTGGCTTATTCTCTATTCCTTATTACACTGTCTGGAAAGCTTCTGGTGATGAGCAGTGTTTCTCCTGTTTTGTGACCAGCAACACTGCTTCTGGTGATGAGCAGTGTTTCTCCTGTTTTGTGACCAGAAACTTCAGCAACACTGAAGTTTCACAGGTGTGATTTTTGTGGCAATAGTAATATAGCCCGTTGCTTTTCACTGCCCTTACCTTACCCGCTTCTGTCTCCTAGTTATTACTGCTTTTAGGAAAATGAGTGGAGAGATAGGCTGACTCCATGAGTCATGGAGATAGACCCTTTGTTGAAGTGTTCTTTCTGCCAACTCCCAGATCAAGGGACGTTTCCCTATGGGCTGGTTAGCACTCTAGGTCAGTTAGTTTCTGGAGTGGTGATTTGGGTGATGGTGAGGTAAGGGGAGGAGAGAATGGAAAGGCAGGAGTTTATAGAGTTATGTCAAAACTTGCTTTTAGGCAATCAAATTACATACTCTAATTAGATTTTGTAATCTTGTACTTAAAAGTTACTCAAATGGTAAACTGTACTAAAAGAAAAAACTTTACTGACAATTTAGCTGAGTGTGTTTCTTATTTTCCCGGGAAGAGCGCTGTGGACTGACTACTTACTGTTGGCTTCATTCTCTTTCTCCTTTTCCCAAGTATGTGGCTACCTGTACATTTGTAGTGAAAAATAGAGAAGTATTGAACTCCAAGCTTGTTCTTTTAAATGGGTAACAATTGTTTGTTTCCTAAAAATTTTGTTAATTCTCAAGTAAATGTGGAGAAGGCTAATGACAGCTGGGCATATTAAGAAAAGTATTTTCAACCAACTGATTTTGTAACCAATTTAACAACAGGCCTAAACTAGATGAGATGAAATATTCTTTTCCCTCTTTGAATAAATAAAATGTTCTCTTCCCTGTTTGTCAAGAATATCAGAAGGAATATCCCAAGTTATAAAAATATTTAAATTGGCTATCGTATGGTGGATTCAAAAAAGGTATGTCTACATCTTGGAAGCTGTGAATGTGATCTTATTTGGGAAAAGGAGATTTGTACGTGTAATTAAGTTATGGATCTTAAGAAGAAATCATCTTGGATTACCCAGGTCAGTCCTAAATTCAATACAAGTGTTCTCAGAAGAGAGACGCAGAGGAAGAGGCCATGAGAAGACAAAGGCCGAGATTGGAGTCATGTAGCCATAAACCAAGGACCACCTGGGGACACCAGAAGCTGGAACAGGCAGGGGAAGATTCTCTCCTAGAGCCTCTGGAGGGAGTGCAGCCCTGCTGACACCTTGATTTCAGACTTCTAGCCTCCAGCACTATGAGAGAATACACTTTTTTTGTTAAAGCCACCAAAATATGGTACTTTGTTACATCAGTCCTAGGAAACAAATTCAGATCTCTCCCTTAAAAACACTAGAATCTTATAATGTGGAACTCTTTAGGGAACAGAAACAGCCTTTATGAAGTATCACTGTGGCAGGCACTGGCTAGATACTTAAATAATTCCTATTTTTTAAAATTAATTATATTTATTGAGGTAACACTGGTTAATAACATTATATAAATTTCAGGTGTACAACATTATAATTCAAAATCTGCATACTCTATTGCATGCTCACCACCAAAATTTAGTTTCTATGTGATATGTGTGTGTATCTATATCTATACCTACATATCTTTATTAATCTATTGATGGACATTTAAGTTCTTTCCATGTCTTGGGTATTGTAAATAATGCTGCAATGAACAAAATATATCTTTACAAATTAGTCTTTTCGTATTTTGGGGGTAAATGCCCAGAAGAATTGCTGGATCATGTGGTAGTTCTATTCTTAATTTTTTGAGGAACCTCCATACTGTTTTCCATAGTGACTACACCAATTTATATTCCCACCAACAGTATACGAGGGTTCCTTTTTCTCTACAACCTCTCCAACATTTGTTATTTCTTGTCTCTTTGACAAAGCCATGTAACAGTGCAAAGCAATATCTTATTGTGGTTTTGATTTACATTTCCTTAATAACTAGGATTGTTGAATATCTTTTCATATAGATAGAGTATAGACATATAGTCCATTGGACATCTGTATGTCTTCCTTGGAAAAAATGTCTATTCAGATCTTCTGCCCATTTTTTTTAAATTGGATTTTTTTGTTATTGTTGAGTTGTATGAGTTGTTTATATATTTTAGATAATAGCTCCTTATTAGAGGTGTCATTTGCAAATAGCTTCTCTCATTCAATTGGTTGCTTTTTTGTTTTGATGATAGTTTCTTTTGCTGTGCAGAAGCTTTTTAGTTTGATGTAGTCTGATTCATTTATTTTTGCATTTGTTTCTCTTGCCTTTGGAGTCAAATTCACGAAAATAGCTATCTCTAAGACCAGTGTCCAGAAACTTAATGCCTATGTTATCTTCTACTAAATAATTCCTATTTTAAAGATGAAACTGAGGCCCACAGTCTCACAGTGGACACAAGGGTCACTGAGTGTGAATCCTGGTAAGAGGCAGCTTGGTGAGCAGTTACAAGCTTTGGCTCTGGATTCTGTCTGGGTTTGACCCTGGCTAAGTTCCTCAACCACTTGGACTCAATTTTCTCAACTGGAAAATAGGAATGATAATAGAATTTCATATGATTTCTGGGAATATTAGAAAGTGAAAAGTAATTAGAATAATACATAGAAGGCCTAAATGAATGTTAACTATTATGATTACTACACACAATACTACTATACTATTGCTAAGGCTATGAATACCAGGCAAAGAATAAAAGAGAATGAGATCATTTTTAAGGCAGAACGTGTGAACTTTATCAGTCATAAAATTAGAAACCACTTTTAGAGAGATTATTCTTCAGAATATTTATTCAGTTCTGGTGTGGCTGTCATAAAGGAGATAAAAAATATATTACCTTGTTTCAAAGACAAGGAAACTGGGACTCATTAAGTTTTGTGTGTTGCTGATCAAAGCCAAGGAGGAAATAACACTGTGATTTAGTCCTGGATTCTCTCACTTCAAAATGGTCTGTCACACCACACTGCCTCCTGAAGCAGTTCTTTACAAATGCTGTCTAACAAGTATTTTTTGAAATAGTAAAATCAGGCCGTCTTATCAATAACTTTACAGTAATACTGGAGTTGCCCAAACTGTTTTGAAATGAACAAATTATTGCCAATCATTTCAGAACCATAAATCTCCTAAAAGACTGTAGCAAAAGGGAAGGATTAAGAAATAATCATTCAGAAGATAAATCTTTTTTTTCTTTAATCTACACCCACTATTTTTTTCCATTTGCTATAGATTTAATAAAAATGAGGCAGGCAGCTAGTGGTAATCTAGTTTATTTTTTTCTCATTTGATTTTCTTTCTTTCTTAAAAATAAAAGAAACAAAGCAAACGAATGTCTTATTACGAACACTGACCATCCTCACTTTCATTGTTAACATTTTTGAAAGAAAATGTTTTCATTTTTTCATATTTCGCTCTTAATTTCTTCCATCTGGTTAACTAATAACTTACCAAAACATTGACTCCTCTCTTCCATGAAAGGTACTCCAGGGTAAGATGCTGCTCCACTTAAATAAAATATGAAGGATGCTGAAACAGAAGCAGCCTTTAACCAACAAACCCATAAATAAGAGAGTAGATGGTGCTATGCAATCCTGACATTGGCGCTTGTACTGGGATTGGCCAGAGCTTCTTAATCTGGAGGTCAAGGCCTTGGGAGGGAGGGTATCTAAGAACTCCTTGAAATGTTTGCAAATTTTGCACAGGCACTTTTCTGCACATACTTCAGAGAAGCCTGTAATGTCTGTAAACTAAGAACTACTGTTTCAAGGCCTCACTACTAAAGCCACATTTTACTCTTTTGTGTCATTTTAAATGTCATTACAATATCAAGTATATAATAAACGTCTGTTGGTTGCTTTAGTGAGAACCAGAAGCTTCATTTTCTTAAAGATGTCATCTTATAATTAAAAGGGTCAGATTTCTAAAAGTGAGACCCCATGATATGATCAGAAAAATTTACCTGCCTGGGAGAGAGTCCAGGTTTGGATTCTTGTGCTTGCTCTTCCACAGAATGGTCCTGTGTGCGTTACTTGTCCTTTTGGAGTGGCTGTTTCTTCATCTGTGAAATAAAGATTTGAATAAACTCAAAGATGTCTTCAAATTTTAAAGCAATTCTCTTCCATGTAAAAGATTATTAAATCCTTCACTAAGTTAGCCTTATTTTTAAAATTCTTTTTAGAAAAGGTTACAGTTGAGGGTTGTGACATTGGCTAGTGACTTCCCAATGTGCTCTTAGGACTATAAAGTGTCACATTACCATCTATGGAAGGATCGAGGGGAAGCCCCAGGTAGGACATGAGATAAGGCTAAGAGCCCATCACCTTGCTTCTTCTATCAGAGCAGCCTGCTTTTAATCTGTTTTTTATACTGGATTTCTGGGTGGTATTTTGTTTGTAGAAAATGTTTCTTGATTTTAATTAGTCTGTTGATATCCATGGGGGGGAAAAAAAAGGAAAAATAGATTAGGTTAATAAATCTATTTAAAAATCTGTCTTTGAAAAAGCACTGGAAACAGCCAGAAACCCTAAAGCTTGTTTCCTATTTTGTTATTTATTAGCTGTATCACATCAGACACGTCAGATAGTCTTTCTGAATCTTTGTCCTCACATATAGAATGATGACACTACCTTATTCATAGGATAATCATAAGAATAAAGTGAAATAATATTTTTGAAAGTGTTTCATAATTGGTAAAGTGTCATAAAAATGGTGAGTGGGTCTTTAGTGGTGAGCCCCAGGGCTATGTATTTTGTTGTGACCATTATAGCATTTTTGTCCACCTGAATTACATCATAGAAAGTATGGGTGATCAAATTTGCAGATGAACCAAAGTTATGGGGTGGAGTTATAAAAGACTTAGCAGATTATAGAGTTCCAAGAATGACTGAGGGTAAAACTTTCAGGGCAATATAAACTCTTGTTTTTCAGTTTAAAGAGTCAATTGTTTAAGAGTAAGATGGAGGAAAATGTGGCCTATAATCAGTTTAAGAGAAAAAGACTAAGGATTTTTACTTGATATCAAGTTCATTCTGAGCCAATCAGGCTGTAATATGGTTGGCAAATAAATAAGTAAACCAACTCTTAGTCCATTTGGGCTGTTATAACAGAATACCAAAGACCGGATGGCTTATAAACAACAGACATTTCTTTTCCACAGTTCTGGAGACTAGGCAACTCAAGGTCAAGTCACCAGCCTTGGTTGCATTCTGGTGAAGGCCCTCTTCCTGGTTCATGGCCAACACCATCTTGCTGTGTGGAAGGGGCAAGGGATCTCTCTGGAGCCTCCTTTATAAGAGCAGTAATCCCATTTATGAAGTCTCCATCCTCATGACCTAAGCACCTCCCAAAGGCTCCACCTCCTAATATCATCACCTTTGGGAATTAGGCTTCAACATATGAATTTTGGGGGGACACATTCAGATCATAGCACCAAAATTCTTATATATTTATAGAAGTACAGATGAGAAAGGAGGCTACAGCTCTTGGCTTTGATTAGCATCCTTCTTCCAACTGTTAGAAAACAATGACTCTAGCAAGTTGAGTACATCCACAGGAAGCTAGATGGAGAAAGTCTGGATGGTTTCCAGTGGGAAATGTTGAGAGCAGACTTTGGGGAGGAACATGCCATGGAGGTCTTAAAAGATCTAAAAGATTTTCAACAGTGTTACAAGCTGTCATGGAGGGGAAGTTTTGGAATTGTTTTACTGTTTTCAGAGGTGAATCTCAGAAAAAGCTTTAAACAATAAGAGGTAACTAAAGGGAAGAGGCTGACTGGTTGAAGTAGTGAGAATTCCATTAGGGAAACTGTTCTAGCAGATACTGGACAACATCTTCGGAGGGTTGCTTTTATCACAATTATTTTCTTTTTTCCTCTTATTTTCTGATGTTGGCCAGGCATAAATGAATCAGGAGGCTTTGGTTAGAAATAAATGATAAAGATTTATTTAAGTGTCTTAGAGTTTGTAAACTAGAAACGTAGCTAGGCAAAACCTAGAAGTGTTC